GTCGTCGTTGCGTCGGTCTTCGTCAGCCGTCGTTGTGCTGCCACGCCCCCGGCTGGCAGAGGGCAATGAGAGGTTCTGATCGCCGACTTTTCGCAGTCTGTCCCCGTCCACCAACAGCCTGCACAGGCTTGGTTGCCCGGGCGACGACCGAGCCGGTATAATTTGACGTGACGTCAGTCCCATAGTGGCAGATGGCGAATTTGCACTGAAACTTTGCCACGACCTCCAACCCCCTTCCATTCTCGACCGGGATGGGACCTGTAGGAGCCGGTGCTTTTTCAGCCGTTGCAAATCTCTTTTCTTTCGCTGGCGGTTTCAGATTTTAATTTCATACAGTGTGCTTGAAACTTATCATCTTGTTTCGTTCAGAGAGGAAAATCATCTTGAGATAAGAATTTCGCTTGGTTCCATGGCTAGCAGTTCAAAGACACTAAGTCTATCCCCAATTAATATACAAACTATTCCATGGAATGTATGTCGGTCTCAAAATTAACTTCACTCCTAATTCGATGGATATGCTTGGTCTTGAATAATAAATCTCATGTAATTTTCCCACTCCCATTCAGCGAAATAGAAGACATGATCATTTCTGATCGAGCGACATTTCAGAAGTCAAGAAACTTCAGAGAGTTATGAAAGCGCCATCAATTGAAAATTCAATGAATCAACTCTACTCTACTTATATCTCTATCGCGTTGGTAGATCTTTAGAAGGTACTTCGTGAAATTTTTATTAAAAGGTAATTTGTCGTATTAAACCGATCGAAACAGATCTATTATCATCTGCGAAAAGTATCGCTTTGAAATATTGCCCATTTCAATACGGGGAAAGGAAATCAGGCTTACGTTTTCACTGATGATTGCTATCCTTCAGCAAAATGGACCCCTTAACCCAATATATTCAGCTAGATGCCGGATTTATAGTAGATCATGTGTCAGATGCGATTAATCCTTTCTATGACCATACCAAAATAAAAGACTTTAAAGCATAATTTCTCATGCATTACTAGATCAGGGATACAGAATTCAAGTCAGACCTACAACGGCAATATTAACTGCATGGAGCTTTTGAGGTTTGAAAGCAACTACGAAAAAGAAATATAGGTGCTGGGTTCTGGCACCACCGTACACAAGTTGGGTACAGTCTACATACTGTCCGTAGTAAAATTGCCTCGATAGACGAGCAGCTCATCTTTGCCGTCCTGAAGTGCCACCTACTTCCGTCCTCACCGAACTGCACAGTTTAATGCTTAGCCATGTACCACTTCATCCACTGCCACAGACCGCACATCGTGGAGGGACAGGATCAAATCGCACGCAAATAACTAATATGAACAGAATCGACAATTCAGAAGCTTACAAGTGAAATCTTACCTGCAACCTCAATCAACTGCAGCTGGATATATCCAGATGTCTCAAGTCGAATTCAAAATTTGGCGCTGAGGAGTTAAAGTTAAAGTTCAAATGATGCATAATGAAATTATTCGTAAACGCTTATTCCATCTCTGACGAAATACTCTACTACTATAAAAATAGTCCATCATTTCTTCGCTATATCCGCATTTTTAAATTGTACATATTTTGAAACAATGTTTTTCTTCACATTTCTGAACAGCGCGTTTAATGTTTTTCAATACATTCACAGAATACGGTCTTCGGAAACAGACACTCAGATGCAAAATTAATTTTATTTGAAATATCCAAAGAAAAGCAGTTCATCAACTCTGTCAAGAAACAAACTTCAGAGACCTAGCACACGTCCAAGGCGATTTTATGACAATATGACAGCACCGCAAAAACAAATTCTACGCCCAGATTTATGTCATAACTACTAAACTATCCATCGATCGTCTTTGAAACAATCGTAATGGTCAACTGTACCGAAGGCTGGCAGAAGTTGTTGACGACTTTACGCCATGTTCTCCATAGCCTCGTTTGGCACCTGCTGATTTCCCATAACGTTCATCTTCTGCTTCACTTCGTTCATCGTTAATTTTCGCTCGTGTTCCACATCAGCCTCCATCGTCTACACAAAAAAGTTTAAAAACTGCGAAAAAACACAACGATGATATTGTAGATGACCCAAGATATAATCATTGATCCAGGTTTCGATGTTTCGGTTGCTTTTTCATGGGGAGATGAAAGAGGGCGCTAATCTGAAGCGAATATTCAGGATCTTTGGATACTTTAATTGTGTGTAGTATACGATTCCATCAATTACTGTGGTAGGCTTCCTGTTCTCCCGGCTTTACTCCGTCTGTGGGGAGTCGGACTTAGAACTGAGATTTCTATGCCCGATCCCCATTTATATAACTCATGCTTGTTCCTTCGCAGCGGATAAAAATGGACGTATCTATGTTTGAGTGAAACAGAAGACTGAGGTTGTCACTCGGCTCGGAACTTTTTCGTAATTAAGAAAAAATACTCTGTTCGATAGTATGCTAACGACGACAAACGGGGCACAATGAGTATACGGCATGTGTAGCGCCACAAAACTCATTCTAACGACGTGACTGTGAAGCAGAGTTGTCTCTTAACGATGTAAGACACTTAAAACATGCTGATACTTGGACTACATGAATTCTATGAAATATGTTCAAGGAGAGGGTCAAAAATTTAATTTAGGTAAACCTCTGGCGGGTAACGATAAAGATGAAATGTAGAACCTCATTGTTAAGCGGATTGTGTTCGGTAGGTGTCTGAGAATTTCGTTGAACACGTGTTCATAAATTACTCA